CATTCAACCAGATTTATCTTAAAACAGGTTCAGCCATTTTGAAACTGGTTTATGTGCACTGAACCTCTGTTCTGTGATAGGTTTAAACCAGTTTCTGATTACTTAAACGAGTTTACATGTAACTTTTGTTCCTAGCCCTAAAGGGAAGCATACCACCTACTGGGTCACCAGAGTCACTTCCTGTCGTATCTTAGTTTTTGTATGGACTTTCTTGCCTCCACTCTGCTGACCTTGTGCAGTCTGAAAAGTCTTGATTCAGACTAGAAAAAGACATTGTGTTTGTCCCATGTGTGTTTGTCATAGAACAAAAACATCCTAGGATTGACATATACACATCACCCTTCTAATATGGGTTTAGTGAGAAGCTGAACGTACTGCCACTTTTCTGCCATTGGTTAAATTATGCAATCCCAGGATAACTGCATTTTGTGATATCCTGAGATAAAATTTTAGTACTTCTTTTTCTGAGACCCTTTTAAGGATTTATCCTAGGACAGTGGACATGGATGTCTGAACAATTGCACTTTGCCCCAGGATAAAATGGTTTATCCCAGAACAAATACAATTTCAGAAATAGGAAGGGTCAAACCTGTCTGTGGTAGCCTATAGCCTTCAGATTCTGCACCTTGGAGGTGGAGGGTAGAAGGTAATGTTTTGCAGGGGAAAATCTCCTTGATGCCCTTCAGATGCTCCCTCCCTGAGGAGCCTGCCAAGATGGTTAGTGATCAGCCCTCAGCCACAGGGCTTGCTTCTTCCTCTGGAGTTCTCCTGTATAGCAATCCCTTGACCCTGACAAGGGCAGCACATGGCCTGCATGCTGCAAGCCAGAATTGCTCTGAGGCAATCAAAAAATACGAGCTGACAATAACACAGAGCACCCTGCTTAGGAGCAGGGGTCTTTTATTAAAAAGCTTTGGTGTGTATTTTTTATCTCCTGAATTGATTTGTGCCATAAAAAGAGCTTGAAAAGAAATAGTGGTTGTTTTGCTGCACGCTTCATTAATTTTTAGTTTTGGCAGGCAATATAAATAAAAGTATCAAGCACACATCTAATTGAATCACAAGTGATTTCCAACTCTCTGTAGTACCAGGGAACATGATGTAGCTGTGCTGTTTAGCAAGCATGGATGAGTCAGGCAGACAAAAGACATTGGGTTTGTTCTGCCAAGAGGCTTTGGGTTCAGTTTCCAATATTCCCTTTATTATATGAAAGGGGTAGGAGTTGCTGTAATGGGGAATTCACAGTGTAGATGGGCTTTGGTCAAGTCATTACTGAAGGGCAGGTCTGCAAGGCATAGTTGTACAGAAAGGACCTTGGATGTTGAGTAGGCAGCAGGAAGATGAAAAAGAAGGAAAGCAGGAAAATTGGTCTATAAATTTACAGTTTCATAGGTATTATGGAAAGGACCTTTGCGATCATTCAGTCTGACTTCCAGGGTAATATAAGCCATAGGGCTTCTCAGGCTTAATTGTTACTAAAGTAGTCAGTGTGGTCTAACAAAGGCATGTATTGTAAAAACAATCATCTAGTTTTGACACACAGTATCTTTGCTCAAGGCAGAATGAAGGGGACAGGTCCCCAGGAGACTTGCAAGAAGCCTATCACTCTATTTAACATGTGGCTATCTAGTAGACAAGGGGAGAAAGTGGTACAAGCATAACCTATACATTCCCCCAGCTCCAGAGTACTGGCCAACACCAAAAGTAAGAAGTCCATTTTCTGTCCCTCTACTGATTACTATAGAAAGCGATTGTCATATGTGGACCTGTCTGCCAGGAACAAGACAGATCTATGAGTCCATGTCACCAGGCCTTTAAAACACCTGTCAGATATAACACATGTTGGTGTCTCCTGATCTGAGCTAGGTGTGATCTGTTGACTGTCCTGTTCACTTGACAGTTTGCTGGTCATGTGCCACAATGGCTATTGACATTGTCAAAGTGGCAGTAATATCCCAAAGCAGAATCTGAGCTGTTACCTGTGTGCAGAGGTATGGCACGCTCATTTCAACAGTTCTTGGTTCTTGGAGCCATCAGATATCTGTAACCTTTGCACATTACCTCTGTGTGCTTTGAATTGAGCGTTCTACCTGTTTTCTCCTGTGCCTAGGAACCAGGGCACAGAACAAGCCATGATTTGCTCCTCTTTAACATATAATTGCTTATTATAATTACCTATAATTACTCATTGAATAGGGCTGTTTTTGAGGTTAAGTACCTCTTACTTTATTTTCAGACTGGATTTCAGCTCACAAGTGGTAGCTAGGAAGTGATTTCAACTCTCAGGTAGTAGCATTCAGGATGTGATCTGAATGCATGGAGCTGACCATTTAGTGATGCAGTCACTAAAGCCGAGGTAGTCTTTTTTTTTGTTTAACCGTGGAGTGGGTTAGAGATGTCAGGGAGCTTGGATTCTCTGCCATTGTTTCACCATACCAGAACTGACTCAGTTAAATCACTTAACCCTTCTATCCTCCAGCTTCCCCTTCCAGAAAAATATCCAGGTCTAGCTCAGCTCCTGGTACATATGAGGTCAGAAAATGGGAGTGCCCACTTCAGCCCCGCAGAGCATAAGCTACAGCTTTGTATTTCTTTAGAAGCCCACAGAGGTATACCTGGCATGCTCTGCACTGCCCTGAACAGCATTGGTGCATGAGGTAGCCATCGGTGCCTGTGCTTCTGATGGCACTGGCAGTGGAGGTGGCTGGGTCTGCAGTGTGGCTGCTGTTATTTTTGTAACCTTCCCTAATGTGGCACCTGGAGCTAGTATCCCAGTTGCCCCCCTTTCTCCTTCACTGTGTTACTATGAGCTGAAGGTCTGTGCTTTGGATTCTATGTTTAGATTCCAAAAAATGAGCTCCCAAATAGTGTCTGAATCTGCTTTTATAAAAGCTGCAGAAATGTAGTGTGCACTGCATAAATGATGCAATAAGCAATAAATTTCCTTGCTAGTGAGCCCCAGTAGGCATGCTGTGTTTTAGCTATGCCACCCAGGGCAGTGAGGTTGTCAGCTTTGATACACATGCTACATATCTTACAGATAGTCAGTGCTTGGACCCATACTTCCTTCTCTCCCTCAAAAAAAAAAAAAGAAAAAAAAAAGAGAAACAAAAAACCCAAATGACCAATAAAACGTAGGTGCTGCAGAAGAAGAAACTCAGTAGAAGATGTTTTTCATTCTGAATTAGTACTGAGCCAGTGCTGCAACATGGTTCGTGGGGCTCTGATGCTACAGGGTGCTTTATTTTGGATGAGATTTAGCACGCAGGTTGTGACCGCTTGTACTCAGAGAGCTCTCTGCGTGCTTGCCAGGGTTGAAGTGTTGACCCCAGCCCAATTCTAACTTTGGTAAACAAGTGCTCTGCCAGCCTCGGTTCTCCTTGTCACTTTGCAAGAAGTTTTTCTCTCTCCTGAAAGTCATGGTGCAGTGTTGCTGTGTGCCATGAAAGAGCTGCTTCATCACCCACCAGAATAATCATACTTAGCTGATAAATAGCACATTCTAGCCATAGATGCTGATGCATTTGACAAAGGAAGGTCAGAATCATTATTGCCTTTTGGCAGAGGAGGAAGCTGAAGGTCAGAGAGGGGCAGTTACTTCCTCGTCGGTGTCCCACACACTGAAGCTTAGTGGCAGAACAGGAGCAGAACCCTGTTCTGACTCCCCGTCACACCCCACTAGGTTGCTACTTTTGAGCTGTGCATTAAGTGAATCCAGACGTGCCAGGCCAAATTCTGCTCCTTTGCACCTGTGTATATCCAGATAAATTCCATGGGACGTTAACAGAGTTCCACCTCCAAAATAGCTCTACAAATACTAATAACCGTGCTGTTTTGGAGGTACCCCTGAGAGCTAGTAAATAAAAGTGGAATTTGATCCAAGGTCGGTATGGCTTCCTGGGCCCTTCAGGTTGGAAGATCCTATAAATGATTCAGCTAATGTTATTATTGCCATTGACTTGAGAGCGGGACAAAACTTGGACTAAGCTACTTGTTATATTTGTTTAGAATCATTTTATGCATTAGCTAAGTAGAGTGTATGCTATACAGGAACTAAAATCTTTCAAACCTATGCTTTATATATTAGCCTAGCATTGCTAGTCCAGCCTTATTTTCTGTTCCTCTGTACGGTGACTAGTACATCCCCTCCTTTTCACACACCCCTCCCCCCCTTATCAAAATGTATATTGTCAGAGGAGAGGAGGGATGAAGCAGAATTTGCCTTTCAGCACCAGGTTATGTGCTTGAATCCTCTTTAGGTGAAAGCTCACTCAAAACTATTGGTGTTTCAAAGCTTCTTCACCCAAACAAAACGAGGCAGTGATTTCAACGGCATTTGTGGCCTCTTTGTTGGCAATCTGCAAATAAATAAATAGCTATGATCAGGCTATAGGTCCCAACCAACTTCTCACTCTTAGGGGTGTGATGGCTCCAAGTCAAAGGCAAGACATATTGGCAGGAAGGTGTACAGGAAGCTTGTGTTGTTGCTTGCGCTCCAAGCTGTTCCCGAGTTAACGGAGAAAGCACATCAATCTGCAAGACTTTCAGGCTAGCAGTAAATTCACATTCGATTAAAACCCTAAATTGTATGTCATTTGACATACCACTTTCTTCAGTAATGCAGCGGAGTAGACTGTGGTAATTCAGCCTTTCTTGAAAGGGTTCAGCTCTGCCTTCCAATGCAAAACACTGAAACTGTCTAGTGAAGTTTAACTCTAATAATTCATATGGGCTATGTGGCATTAGGATAAATTAAAAGAAATGTGATGACTTGGATTGGAATAGTGAATGATGGCAGATCTGCTAATGCTTGTCATGACCACAGACCCTTAAGGGAGCAACTTTGCACTTGGACATCAAGTGATCGAACTGGGTCCTTATTTCTGTCTTGCAGCATTCTGTAACCATATGGTTGGAATCACAGGAGGTTTTGCAGCCAGGGGTCTGGGGGCGAAGGTGGTGCGGCACTCTGAACTTGTCTGTGTTTTCCTTTTTTCTAGGATCTCCCCCTGCTTCCAAAATGGTCCTTGAAGGCTTCTTCAGTTGCTGGAATGGAACAGTGATCAAACTGAGGCAAGCATGTGATTTCATCAGGGACTGCACAGAGGGAGAGGATGAGGGAGACATTTGCAGTAAGTAAACTGAAATCTCAGTTTTGTCCTTCCTCCTCCCTTCTAGAAAACAGGAGCCATTTGCTTCCCCATCATAGGGAACTGAAAGATTTGGAAACCTGGTAGTGCTCATTTGATCTCTCTGGATATCTACCTTGGGCTGGCTATAAACATCTAAAGTATCCCTGCACTGGTATGCGCTAGGTCTTATGGAAAACCTGTGATCAGTGCCCCAGAAGCTCTTACTGCTTTGTCCCAAACTTCTGATCAGGACTGTAGGGTAATGTGGATTATTTTGACCAGTTGTCTGTTGAATCAGAACTTTGCTATGCGTTCGTGAGGAAAGTCCTTAAAAAGGCTTCAGTGTTATGCATCAGATCTATTTGATGTTCGTGCTTCTTAGACATTTATAGTGAATACGGTGCCAATGAAAGGTACTAAGATTGGCAGCTCAGGTGATTGGAGGCTTCTGGTTATCCATTGAATAGGTACACTAAGGATACCAAATTGTAGCAGCCTGTCTGGTGCTGCCTTAAAACTGTACTTCAGTGTGGATATTGAGGAGCTGCCAAATCTACACTACAGGATTTGGTGGCATAGCTCTGTCCACCAAAGGGTGTGAAGGGGCATGATCCCTGGCTGAAGTAACTGTGCTAGTGAAAGCCCCTGGTGTAGATGCAGCAATGCCAGCAAAACTGATTTTGTTAGGGTAGCTTCTTTTGCTGGGGGGGTTGCTGGAACCAACCATTCCAAACAAGCTGCCATATCCACCCTTGAAATACTTTGTCTTTCATTATGGCAGTAAAATACTTCTGAAATGTAGACCTGGCCTAGGAGTAACATGGGCACACAGGAAGCATTCCACCTTTGGTGCCTGTCACCAGCAAATGGGCTGGTCAGAATGAGTGGTGTCATATTTTTATATGAAGGTATGAATAACTGGGACCTGAACAGCGACCATCCAAAATAGGTCTTGTAGGCCCCTGACAGATGTTATGCTTCAGTTGCGATTAACTGGTTAATCACACCTTTAGTGACCTGGCTACATGTTCAATCAATTAGTGGTGTGATAAAACAAAGAATAAGCCACAAAGTTATAACACAAGATGTGTAATAACCGTGGCTGGTTTTTATCACATCTTTAATTGAATGTGTGGCTAGTGCCCAGCCTCTGGAGCATGCAGGAGCCTGTCATGTGCTACAGAGCCTGGGAAGCCCCTCAGCTGATTGGTGCTTCCAGCCACAGCAGTGCATCCTGGACTCCTGAGGTTGGAAAACTGGTCAGCTGATCAGGGCACATGCTTCTTTGGCTGGGAGTCCCAGTTAGCTGATGGGGCTCCCAGCTGTGGAAGCATATAATGTGTTCCCCTGGCTGAAAGCCCCCATCAGCAGACAGAGCTCCCAGATGCAGAAGTGCATGGTGCACTGCTGCAGCTGGGAGCTAAGCTTGCTACTTCCCAGAAGGAGCCTGGGATCTTCCCTGCACCAACCGGCAATATGACTTTACGTGATCTGATGTGGGATCCTACAATTGCACCTCATGTGTGGCATGGCAGGAAGTGCAGTTGTTGGGATCCTGCATCAAATACCATTGCACCTTGACTTTAACATCATTCAGGGACCACAGGCCACCAAACGTCATGTAGTCGAATCAATGATTATTTCCACCTCAGGAGAAGTTAATGAGCAATCCCAGAGCAGGTTGCAACAAACACACCTTCATGGTAGCACTGTTGCATCAGGGATGAACTGAAGCAGATTTGAGTCAGAAATACTGACTGAGCCCTTGAGCCCTGTGATTCCGTCTCTTAGACATTGCGTTACAATTAAAATGCCATTTAAAAAAAATCTCATTTATAATTCTCAATTTTTGCCTAAAAACCTGCAAGCAGAGCTTTTAAGGAAACTTAATGTGTTTTTTTTTTATTGCATTCTAGGTTTAATTAAAAACATTTAATAAATGGTGACAATTAGTAGGGTTCTTTTTACCACCAACTGCATTTCACTTCATTTCACTAGGGAAGTATATTATTTACCCAGCCCAATAAAAGGGCTCATCAATAAATGTACGTCATGTCTACATCTGCTGTGCATGGATGCACACTGCAAGTGAAATCCTGCCTTGAGTGGTGGGAGCAGAACAGAGTGGGAAGCAGAGCTGTATCAGCTGTGATTATGATTCAAAAACCATTCTCCCCATGCAGGGAAGGCCTACAGGAGTCTGCTTACTGTGGTTTTGAAAAGCTAGGATGCACCTCTGGCTAGCATCTCTTGCCAGTCACAGCATGCACACACCAGCTGGCCGAGGGGAGGAGGGAGCTGTTGGACTACACCCAATACTGGGCCAACTGGCAAATAAGGCAGTCCCCTTCTTGCACTGACATGAAATACATGCTCTGTTTATGGAACATGTCTCCTACTGTTGAAATGTAGCCATTTGCAGGATTAAACACAGCAGTTGCTGAGCAGTGCGCAGGAACACTACACACAAATCTGAAGCAGAAAAGGAAGGATATTGGACCTGGTTCTCTGCAGGTGGAACTTCCTTGCAGTCAGTGGAGCTATGACAACAAAGATTTTTGTCCCACCATGTCCAACAGAAATACAGAGAAAACAAAACATAATTAACAGAACTTAGCTGGGACTGACACCCTCTAGCTATAGAGAAGCATCATTCCAGGGTTTTATGATCGCAGTTAGTTAGACTGTTAGTTTTGCAACTCATCCGAAGACAGTATGTTGTGTAACACCATGCTCCTTTGAGTCATTTATTTCAGAAACCTCTGTTTTTTAGGAGTCCTGCAATGCAGCAATGATGGGGTCCAGTCCTCTTCAGTTTATAAGATGTAATGAGAGCTGTGAGTTTCTAGTCTTGCGCGTGGGGTTGCATGCTGCTTTTTGCAAGCCTGTTCAATTCTGATTAAATTCTCTGCTATTGTAAAGCCACCCCATTAGTATGCTATACTGAGTTGTGTTGGCATAAGTTTTCCTTCACAGAACAGAAATGGTCAAATATTTTAGACATCAAATATGTCTATCTGTCAACTCACTACACAAAGTACCTAATCGTTCAGCAATTGGGTTCTCGTTTAGTCCTGAACAACTTAGACATTTTCATCAGCTTTTTTCAACCATGGTAAAAAATGAATCAGATTTGCAGGGGGTTACTCCCCCTCTGCCCCTTCCCTCTCAAGGCTTTGCTGCCACATACACAAAAAAGCTGTCAAGCTGTAGCCATGCTAGAAAATGGGGCAGAGGGGTCTTTAAAGCCATCTTTAACCCAGTAGTTATCTTTTTACCAGCTTTATGAGAGGCTGTTTTTTCCTACTATTTGTTTTGGACATTCAGACTGCATCTTTTCTTTCGCTCCCCATTTCCACCGTCCCCAACCTTTTTGTTCTGTTCTTTAGCTGCAAAATTTACCTTAAAGACTACTTTTGGTTAACACCTTTGACTTACTACTGGTCAATGAAAATATCACAGTGATTTTTCTGCATACAGCCAATTAGTCTTTGTAGAGCCATTAGAATAAGTTTACCCCTGAAGAAAGAAATAATTTGATTTATAATGAGGGAAAAAAAGCCCCTTCAAAGAGACAGAAACAGACTTAGATTCCAACCAGTAGTGACTTAGGGTAAGATGCACAGATTTAACAGATCAGGAAAAGTGTGTAAAGTGATTTCCTCTATTGCAAATTGGAAACATCATTGATTTCATGCTTTCCAGCTGATACTGTTCCCCTGTTTATAAAATACGGGTGTCATTACATGAAGTCATGACCCTAGCCACTAGGCTAGTGTCATTCTCTCCCTCCCTTGTTCACTATCATTCAATGCATATTTAAGTATTTTTTGCACAGGGGAGCAGCATCAATAGGAGAAACCAAGACATGCACCTTAGATCACCAATTATGTGAATGACTCAAGCTCCACTCAGTGTGTGGGTGAAGGGAGTGTGCATATGTGCCTGTTGGGGGATGAGTGTTCATGGTATCTAGACTCTAAATGAGTTGGTGTTTCATTCAGAACATGAGCAAGTTCTACAGGGACTAGTTCTCTACCCAGCTGAAAATGTGTGAGGAGAACAACCGATTCATCTGTACTTTGGGGTTGGCTATGACTCAACTGAAGTTACCCATAGTTAAAATGATGAAGTGACTTGTTACCTACCATGCAGTACCTTCTCCCTTCCTATCTTGTTTAATCTTTGTTGTGTTGCTTACCATTCTCCCCATCTCTCAGCTGAAAGCAGGAAATACAGCAGAGAATTCTAATCACCAGGGGTCCTGGTTTTCACTGATTTAAAAAATCCCCCAATTTTCAAATAAAAAAAGTAACCCAAAATCCACATTTTTCTATGATTAAAATGAAACCCTACTCTCTCTCTCTCTCTCTCTCTCTCTCTCTCTATATATATATATATATATATTTGAAGAAAATGACACACGCACATATATAGAGAGAGAGAAAGAGAGAGAGAGTAGGGTTTCATTTTAATCATGGAAAAATGTGCATGGGGGGTTAATCCAGAAACTGGGGATTTTTTTTTATCAGATAAAACTAGGATCCATGCTAACCACCATCAGTTCTGATCTCAAAGGTGCCAGCTGACACTGCAAAAAAAACCCCTTTATTTAGTGTGCTGACATTGGTGGTCCCTTATTTGTACTTTATTTTTGATAGACCTTGGCAGACCTTGTTTTGGCAGAATAAGGGTGGCAATGAAAAACATAAACTTGGAGAGCTGCAGAGTGTTAAGGATTAGCACACTTAGATGATACTCTGCTCCATGATCTGAAACTTCCTACTATATCCAGTAAAAAGCCATAGATCTTAAGGCGAGAAGAGATCTTTACGATCATTGAGTTTGACCCTTTGGAATAACACTGGCCATAGAAATTTACCCAATAATTCCTTCAACAAGCCCATAACGTCTGATTGATCTGCAACAGATCTTTTCCAAAGATAGCCAGTTTTGATTCAAAGTCTTCGAGCAACTGAAAATACACTCTACCCCTCTGC